AAGGAACTCCGGATGCATGAGAGGTGGCAGGTTTGAGTCAACGGGCCAATGATGGTGGCTGACTTCGGAATGTGACGGTGAGACAGGAGTGCTTTGCAAAAACCTGGAAGCGCTCATGAGGCTGCCGCTGAAGGGCCACAGCCTGTACCGGATGATCTCCAATTCGAGCAGCGGTGGCGCCTGTGGCGAAAGGTCGTGAAAATGATCAGCTGAGAGAGGCTGCAGGTAACCGCTACAATGCCAAACATCCGCAAACCAGAGTGTGACAGTCGAACATACAGTGCTTTTGAGCTTCCCAATGGACTGCGAGTCATCGTTGCAAGTGATCCGGACAAGTCTGTGGCGGCAGCAGCAGCTCTTTGCGTTCTGGCCGGCAGCATCCACGAGCCCAAGGAAATCCCGGGCCTGGGCCCCAAGGACTCCAGGACTCCAGGACTCCAGGACTCCAGGACTCCAGATCCCTAAGTACCAAGCATGTCACGCATAGAGGGGACACGGAGGGAAGCCTTCCACCAGAGATTGACTCAGGCTTGGCACACCTCTGCGAGCACATGGTGTTGCACGGAACTCTGCAACCGTGGGGTACCACTTTTTCCGAGCACATCAAAGCGCATGCTGGTCAACACAATGCAGTCACGACAATGCTACAAACTTGCTTTGCCTTCGAGATTCAATCTGACAAGTTGGATTCTGCACTGCGCCTTTTTTGCCGTTTCTTCGTTTCTCCGCAATTTTGTCGATCCCTTCAGCATCAGGAGCTGCAGGCCATTGATTCGGAACACAGCATGAATGCTCAAAGCGATTTTCGGCGGCAGTGGGCAGTCTTGCTGCAAGACGCAAATCCTCGGCATCCGTATCACTGGGCGTCAGGCTGCAGCAAGTCCTTGTTGCATGGAGCGGCAGCGGCAAAGTGTGACCTACATGAAGCCATGGAGAAGTTTCACGAATCAACTTATAAAGCCAGCCGCATGACTTTGGCAGTCGTAGGCCCGCAGCCCACAGAGAAGCTTGAAGCTTTGGTGCGAGCGTGCTTCACTTCCGTGCCTTCAGAGCCTCAGGGTCGGACGGAGCGCTGTAGACTGATCGGCGATCAGGTAAGCCGCGAGCCTGCGTTTCTATCCGAAGACTTTTGTGCCTCGGGTGCTTCAGAATGGCCTGTTTACTAAGTTGCCAGGTGCTCCGTAGATCCATTTCGTGCGCAGTTTTTTTTTTTTTGTCACGCTTCAAAAGCTGAAAGGTGGCCAGGTCTTCGTCTCCCCACTGAAGGACCTACAGCAGCTGAAGCTCTCTTGGAGTTTGCCATGGCAGATTAGTCGCTGGAGGTCCAAGCCCAGCGCCTATGCGACGTACTTGCTGGGCCAGGAAGGGCCAGGCAGCCTTTTGGCAGCTTTGAAAGCAAGAAACTTGGCACAGCACCTGTCCATCGCATGCTACGACTATCACGGCGCGGTCTCGACGCTCGAGTTGTCAGTAGATTTGACAGATACCAATGACCAGACGGTTTTGGAAGTCGGCGAGCTTGCGTTTGCATTCATCTCAATGATCCGTTCGCTCGGCATCCAGGGATGGGTCTTGAAGGAGTACACTCATCTGCAGAAGTTGAACTACAACTTCCAGTTTGATACGGCTACGTACAATCTTGTACAGGACTCTGCCTGCCAACCACGATCTTGTCTTAGGGTATGTGGTTTGCCAAGCAGCAGCGCAGTTCTCCTTAATTGGGGTTTGCCAAGGAACATCGCTTGTGAGGGTTTTGGGGTCCAGCTTCTTTCAGGGTTTCGGGTTCTGCCACCCAAAATCCGCGCTTTGGGGCTTCTCGGGTTTGCCAACCAACCCAACATCTCGCTTCGGGATGATGAAAGGTCCAGGAATCTCACGTCCTAGGTCCTTGGTGTTTGGAGTATTCGCATCACGATCTTCTTCGTTTAAGGGTTCGGGGATGTTCGCGGTTTGCCAACCAACATCCTTTCGGGGTTCAGGGATTGGCAGCCGACATCTTCTGACATCTACTTTTAGAGTTTTGGGGTTTGCAAACCAGCATCCTGGGTGAATCATTTACGATGTGTTTCTCGAATCTCCCCCCATGTGGATTTCGAATTTGTCTTGTTTGGCTTCGCAAACGGTTTTCCTGGATTCCTGTCGTTCTCCGGATGGGTCCTTCTCGTTTTCGAAGCGTGTGCCTGGCGAGGACTTGGCATGCAATCTGCACTATTATCCAGTTGAGGAGGTGTTGGCAGCTGACAGCCTGCTGTATGATGAGGATTCAGGCGCATCGATGGATATTCTGAACCTCATGACGGTCGACAATGCTCGCCTCTCTTTGCTATCCAAGTCTCTTGAACCTGTTTGCACCGCTTGCGAGCCCTGGTATGAGGCAAAGTTCATGAAATTTCAAAGCATCAAGAGGACTTGGAAGGCCAGGTGGAAGGATCTCGAGTCGGGGTCTTGGCGCTCGATTGTGGAGAAATCGGGTCTCGGGTTTCCACATCGCAACAGCTTCCTGCCGGCAGACTTTGCGCTGCGATCCCCTCCACCTCTTGCGGCTGCACGTGAGATGGAGGTTCCGCAGGACTGGTGCCGTGCATGGCTGCGTCCCACCAGTGCCAACCATCAGCCCAAGGTTGCGGCGTCGTTTTGCTTTCGCTCCTTTGAGATTTCCACACCTGAAGACATTGCCTTGGCCCACATTCTCTGCAAGTGCGTGGAACAGTCCTTCAGGGCAGAAGCATTTGAGGCGAGGATGGCAGGCGCGATGTACAAGCTCGATGTGGTGGACCAGTGCTTTTTGCTGCAGTTCCTGGGTTTCCGAGACAAGATGCACCTCTTGGCCGGAGCAGCAGCCAGCTCACTCTTTGTCGCCATGAGAGAGATCCCTCGTGACTGTTTCTTGCAAGCGAAGATGCAGCAGGACCTAGTGTATGACCGTGTTGCACTCCGCTGTGCTTGAGGCCGTTGGTCACCCGCAGAGCAGATCACTCTACCTTCCCGGCAAACGCATGCATTGAGCTCATAACGTATTGAAGCAATCGTTTGCCTTAGAATCTTAGAAGGTTGAAAGCAGATCGAGGCTGATTCACAGGCAGGTCTTAGAAGAATTATTTCGCGAACTCAAGAGAGGAGCGGATCTTCAAGAACGCATCGAGTGGCCAGGCATACAGCCAGGCAGGGCCATTGGCATTTGGCATGGCGAATCTGTTTGGGCCTCTCGCCAGGCCTTAGCAGCTCTTGAAGACCTTCTGCTGCAGCGCCCATCCGCGCCTGATTTGCTGAAGGTGGGGAGTCGTAGAGTATCATAGAGTGCAGATTGTAGATACAGGGTATCGCCTTTGGGCTTTATCGTGTGTGCGAGGCGACTCAGCAGCTGCACCAAGAAAGCGCCGGTTCTCTTCCGGAGAAGTTCTTCGGGCCCAGCGCTTGCCTGGTGGAAGCTTTGATCATCGGCAACGTGGACGAAGCAGATGCAAGGCAACTGCTCGAGGCTGTCATTGGCCCAATGGCAAAGCTGCGGAAGTTCAGCCCAGGTCAGGTGCCAGTTGAGGTGCCTGCAAAGGCAGAGCTCTTGATACCAAGATCCCTTGGGCGAACTATCTTGAAGATTGACGGACAAGCCGCCCAGGATACCAACAACTGTGCGGTGGAATGCTTGTGTAATATTGCGGCCGCCACGCCTGAGCATGAAGCCCTCGCAGCTGTCTTGGTGTCCATTTGGAAGCCGTTATTCTTCAACGAGCTGCGAACCCAGCAGCAACTTGGTTATGTTGTCTCTTGCTTCATGCGAATCCGCGTAACGCACGTCTCCCTGATCTTCGTGGTGCAGACGGACAGGCTACCAGAAGTTGCTTTGAAGAGCATCGACAAGTTCTTCGGCCACGCCTTTACTCACATCATCTGCGGAGTCACTGAGCGTCAGACCTGTCCTGAGCTTTCGAAAACGTGTGTTGTGATGCGACCGTCTTTGGAGCTTCGTGCAACCAGCTCTAAGGTTCCGGGAGCAGTGCGAAGGCATCGCTCGGCAGTTGGAGGAGTCTCCTCGCAACCTTTGGGATGCGATGAGCCGCGACTGGCTTCCCATTGAAGAAAGGACCTTCTCCTTCGATGGCTGCTTGCGGCAGGCCTGAGTCCCACCGTCACCGTCAGCACGCCTAATGCCCTAATGCCCATGCCCTTTCACCCCACTCCCCCTTGGCCTGGCAGATACTTATAAATCTTAAAAAGGGGTATCCGAACAGAGAGACTTTCAGAGAACGAGGGGAACTTATGGAGGTGGCGATGTTGCGCGCCTGCACCCTGGACCAGCTTCGGGCCTTCGTGAAACAGGAGGCGCCCTGGCGGGCCTGGAGGGTGGAGGGTGCCCTATTTTGTGGGTTCTTTATTATAAGTATAGCATAATGGGCCCGGCCCCCAAAACCCTATTCTAATTTATTAAACTGTTTAGCCCTTAGAGGCCGCAGGAAAATTACCCGCTTTCCGCGCTCTCACCGCTTCTTGCGCTTGGGCCGGCAGGTCCAGCCGTCGCCGCGATTGGCGGTCCTACTCCGCAGCCCGAAAGCGGCCTGGCAGCGATCCAGTCATGACTGGGGCGACGCCAGAGTTGTAACAAAGTGGGGGCTGACAAGCTTCAAAGCAGGACTGCAGCCAAGCTTTGCAAACAAAGCCTTTGGCAAAGCTGGTCAAGCTGCAAGCTCTTCTGAAGGGAATGCTCCAGCGGCTGATGCCTTAACCATCGACGAAGACGAGGAATGCAGAGTGCAATGAGAAACGACTTGTGTCACAGATCCGTCCCTCCGTCCAACGGTGACCCTATGAGGTTGAATGTCTGGGTGCGTTGATCACTCGCGCTGCGGCCTCAAGGGGCCGGACGACTTGGCTCAAAATGTTCATCCGAACCGAGTCCTGGGCTTCGAAGAGCTTCAAAGACTTTTCATGCGGGCAGGGCCAAGACATGGAATCTGTAAGCCAAGCGGGAGTCTTCTAGTCACTTCTCAAGCCACGTGGAGCTCATGGCTTGGTTTCTCTCGCGACTCGAGCGGCAGGTGCCGCTCGGGGGGCTGGGATGAGCTGTGTTTGTAGCTTTGAAAGCGGAGGCCCTTGCAGGCTTTGCTGTGTGCGCTCCGTTCTTAGTCCGTCGGTTCGAGGCCCGCTTGACCCTGACACACCAGCCCGACTGTTCCAAGGTCGTGGTCACAGCTGTTTTGCATGAGGTGATGCAGCTCCGAGTACTTCCCTCTGAGACGGCTAAGTGTTAGGTGTCTTTCTTGCTTCAGCGGCATGTAGCTAAGTAGCTAGCCCCAGCTGTTTCGCATGCTGCCATCAGGATCTGGCGACATCCATCCAGACGCAATTGTTGGAGGAAGCTGCACGTTCGTGTGGCTGGGAGGCAGAAGTTCTTGCCCGTCGCAGGATCACTATTCCACTCTGGGCGTGGCCGCGGATGCCAGCCAAGCAGAGATCACCACGGCTTATCGGCGTGTTGCGAGCCCAATTTCTGGCCCCTTGACGAAGACACCCCATGAGATTCCATATGAGGCAACGAACAAGATCAGCTCAAAGCAGCAAGCCTTGACCCGAGAAGCGATTCTCAGAGGCCTTCGGCCCTTTCATCTCGGTTTCAGTCTCAGGCGGACCAAAGCCGGGCAAAGCTCAGCGCGGCCTACGAGACCTTGTCCGGTTCAGCGCGTCCGGCCTACGACAAGCGCAGGTCAGGGGAGCCCAGCTCGGAGTTGCTTTTTGGGTTCAGGGAGCCCAAAGACGCCAAGACGCCTACTGTTTTTGGGGCTATAGGGGGCCTGTTATATAAATAGGGGGCCTATAAGTGGCACTTCAGGCCTGGGGCCTATTCCTTGCTAGGCAGTTCGTGATGCTGGCGAGCTTCATCCTGATTGCGGCCTTGGACCGGCTCTCAGTGGCCCTTCCTGGCCGACTGCGCATGTCTGACTTACAAAACTGAGAGGTCAGTGTGCCTGCCGTGTTTCTGGCTTACTTCTGTGCTCGGGTCTTGGTCGCAAGCTGAGATTCTCCCAACCCCAAAAACCCACCAAAAGCTGCAAAGCCGCCCAAGAAAGAAGGCGCGAGTGCGTGCACGAGATCCAGATCCTCAAAGCTTCACGGGGCGAGCTAGAAGCCGAGATTCGATGGTACTTTGTTGCGTGAGATGATACTGTAGCCGCCTGTAGCCGTTTCCGACAGTCGAAACGGAGGGGCAGCTTGGTGTAAGAAGCCGAAGCATCAGCCGCATCTCAGCCGACATGGCATGGCAGCATGTCGACAGTCCGCTCTGCCAGCACACCGGTAAAGGCAGCTCGCCGTGCCAGAGTCCGCAGGTCAATCAGAGTCTTCAGAGCATGGAGCGGTCCTTCGAGGTGAAGATCGCCAAGGCGCTGGCACATCAGAAAGAGAGGATGGAGGGCATGGAATGGTCGGAGTTCGCAGGACCAAGACGTGCGCCTGGGAGCCCAGCTCATGCCCGTCGACAACGGAAAAAGGTGCATGTCCCAGCTCCATGTCCATGTCGAGAGGTAGAGAAGGTAGAGAGAGCCCCCCAGCTGAGGCTACAAGTCTGCAATATCGTGGATGAAGGTCTCATTCATCAGCACAACTCGAAGGCTTTCCATGTGCGGACGCTCACAGGATGCTGCACTTGGCACGTTGCAGTTCGCAGGTGCTGGAAGAGAGCGCAGGTTGTGACGACGTTGGCATCTCGCCAGCCGGAATGGTTTGGTGGCACCTGCGGTGGCCTCAGACGTGAGCCGGTCAGCTGTGTTGTAGCTTCGCCGGTTCGCCTCATGGGAGGCCCTTGCTTCGAGAAGGTGACATCATCGAGTCGGCCGGGCCCAGTCTGCCCTTAGACTCTAGACCAGCTCCTGATGCGCTAGCTAAGGTCAACGAGAAGAGGGGTGCCACTGACATGATGAACGAGCTGAAGTCTGGCGAGGTAGGGCAAGCAACGTGTCTGGTGCCGCTCGAAGAGCAACAGCGAGGAGTGGCTCTCTCTCAGCATACGCCGACGTCTCGTTGGTGGAGCCGGATGCTTGAGGGGAGCGGAGGGATCCGCAGATGCGCCGATGTGTCGCCGGCGGAGGCTTCGGTGCTTCCCTTCCTCTTTGAGCAGAAGCTGACCCGCCGTGAGAACGAAAGGCGTTCAACGCAGAGTTCCGGCAAGTGTTGGACTCGGGTTTGGGCTTGGGTTCGGCTCGTTCAAGGTGGGGCTGCGAGCTGGTAGCCCCTCCTGACGAGAGCGACAGCCTGGAGGCCTTGGCGCACAGCTTTGCGATGCTTTGCGGCATCCGGCTCACGAATACGTCTGAGCCTCCGAGCCGAGGTTGCTGGTGAGATCCTGGAAACCTTGGGCGAGGTCGAGCCCCCACGTCACGCCACAGGGTTTTTGAGAGTTCTGGCCATGTCTCTGTTGCTACATGTCGCAGATGCTTGCTTGGTGCGTTGCCCCCCCGCCAGGCAAGTCCAGGGACCGTGCTTCGCCCAGGGGATCGTATCGTGTCCGTCGATTCAGTGGTGGGCGCCGACCTGAGCACGAAGTCCTGGACAAGGCATTCTGGCCTTTGAGTTTTCGTTTCGACGGAGTCAGGTTCCAAGATGCTGGACACCTTGCGTGACAGCTCCCTTCTGTCACTGAGTCGGCCCCTCTTTTGGAGTTTTTCCTCTTGCCTTTTTTTTTTTGTGGCCTCAGGTCTCCTCGTCGTTCGAGGGGTGCTGATGCCGCCAGGGCTGATCCAAGCCTCGCCGAAGGAGGCTGCTGCGTCCGTGCTTGGCTGCTTTCGTCCCCCAGCTTCGGAAGTGCAGGTGTCTTGTGGGCCATTGCAGAAAAGCGACGGACAAAAACTTGGCATTCGCATCGGGTCCTGCGCTGAGCCGTGGAGACGACATGAGTCCTGACACGTCCTTGCGATGTCGGCTTTCTGAAGGCATTGCTTTGAAAGCCCTCCTGCGTAAGCGGCTCAACGGCTTCGACACCTGGAGCCGGCGTACTTGCACTCTCTCCCTCTGAGGCACGGGATTCTTCTGGGACCTGGCTGTGCGAGCTCCATGGTCGTCAAGGAGGCCGAAGCTGAGAACAAAGGAAGGCTAAACAACTTTCCACCAAGTGCATGCTGCATGGGCACAGGTCGTCCCGGGTCATCTGGTTGACCAGTGGAATGTCCAGCCGCGGTCTTGCACCTCAACAGGCCGTGGAGATCAGATTTTATGCTTTGTCTCAGGCAGGCGAGCTCCGACGCGCTGCTTCCCAGCTGCGTCATTGTGGCAGTCAACGGCCGCCGAAAGTCCCAAGAGCAGCCCGTCCAAGACCAGTCCGAGTCCAGAACCGGGGGGTGTTTCGAAAAGAACCCGAGGTTCGCCACGGAGCTTGCAAAGCCTGTCGTCACTATCGTGTCTAGTACTCGGCTTGAGCTTACTCTTGCACCCACAAAATTATATGGCATTCGCAGTTTCACACCAGGTTCCGTCCATTGCTGGCTGAGCTCGTCAAGCGGCCGGAAGTTCAGGTGCATGGAGTCTGGAGTGTGGGGAGGGAAGGCAGTGCAGGAGCTGCTGCGTGGCAGGTCAAGGAGCCGAGTTGTGAAAGCACGGACAGCCGGCGGACCCGTCACGTGAGACCACTGCACCTCAACATCGACGAGGATAGCGCAAAGGAATGGCCAGTGGCTGTCTCTTTGGGTTTCAGTTTCAACTGTTCGACAGGAGGCTCTTCGGCCATGGCCTGCGCGAGTCCTGCATGGCTGGGACGCCCTCTCAGGGTGTCAAAGTGGACGTGTGTGGAGCGGCATCGGGATCAGTGCAAGTCTGAGGGTACAGGGAATAGCATAAAGCGGCTGTGGATGTAAATATCGACAGGGATCCAGAAACACATCGAAACAACTTCCCGCGGCTTCGCCCATTGGAGTTTCAACAAGAGAAGGTTGTCGTGGTTCCATGCCTACGGCTCAGATGTTCATTATTTTGGTCTTTTCACCCGAGGCCCCGCGCTGGCTGCTTCCTTCTCCCTTTGAGGATCTTGAGTTGAAGTGTGTTGACATGAGGCCGTAGAGTGGGAGCGGTGTACCGAGAGGAGCGCCTGCGGAATCAGCTGCGTCTTCTGCATTGCGAGCCGCTCGCTGTCATCTCGCGACATTCTTTTCCCCCCGCTTAGCCCGGTGCATTCCTCGACATGTGCCAAATCCGAGCAGGTTCACTGTCCGCATCGAGAGACCAGACGAATCAAGGCATCCGGGCATCCGTATAGGGATGGAGCTTTGTCGGCATTTGTCGGCCAGCAGTGCCTGCGTCTCAGCAGGCGATTGGGCCTGCACCTCCAGGGCGACCGCTGGCAACTCAAGTGTAAGAAGAAACATCCTCCGCAACAAGTGCCAAGCCGTTCAGTGCCGAGGTGGAGGCCTGCAGGTGCTGGAGGCTTGCTTGAGGTCAGTCTGAAACACCTACATGCCGGCAGCATCTCGTAGGTTGCTGACGGTGGTCTGGTGGCACAGCACAACGTACGGTTAGCGAGGCAGGGCGGAAAGCCTCAGTCATTCAAGATTGAACTTGTAATTCTGATATGAACCCCGGCCGTGCTCGCAGTCGCAGTTCCTCCGAAATGGACGTCCGCCGTGGTGACCGGTTGGTTGCTGTTGGCAGCACCACCTCACCTGGCGCAATGGTGCGCAAGCCAAGTAGCGTTTAAGCTGCTTGAACTCGTGAACAAGACCATCGAACCTTATCTGTGGACAGATGGATCAACTTGCAAAACAAGGGCAGGATGATCTGGTTCTGGGCTGAGGCTTATCTCTGGACTCGTCTCGTCGAGGCTTCGCCCTTCTAAGGAGCTCCGATTCTCACGTCCGGCGGCGAAATCCGCTCCTGGGGCTGGCAGCTCAAAGCCAAGAGCCTTTTCAGAAGATGCTGAAACGATGTTGGAATGCAGGTGTGGGAGATCGACATAATCAGGAGTGAGAATCAAGGCGCGGTCGAATGCTCCGGCGCCTTGTGCTACTTGTCTGGTGCGCTTCAGGTTGGGGTCTGGAGTTGTCTGAAGTTATGATGACCACCCCAGCTGGGCCTGGGCGCTTGCTTTCACAAAAGCACTCTTTTCGTGCCCCCGTTGTGTGCCCTGGAGCTGAAGGCCCCGAAGTGCAGGCGCCCTCAGAGTGCAGCGTGTCGCGCCTCGGCTCACAGCTCTCGTCGGGCGCTTTGACTTTGACGCTTCTGGAGCTCGTAGGCTGAGGAGGCCGCGCTCGGACAGTGGAACAGCAGCCAAGATGCGCAGCGGGCAGCCGAGCGACAAGGGAGACATACTTTTCTCTCAGGACCTGCGCTTGCGACACTTTGAGGTGGTGCGTGGAACCTGGAGACCTGCTTGTCGCCTGTGAGCCGGAGGTGCAGACCCGGAAAAAGTCTAAAGCACTCAACAGCTTGGAGTTTGAAGTCACTCTGCCAACTCAGCCGCAGAGCCCTGCAAATTGCCAAGTCTTCCAGAGCCGGCCTTTCGAGATCTCCGCCTATGCACCGCTCTCAAGGGAAGAGTTCCGAGCTCCGAGCTGGCGGAAGGTGGAGCCGAAGCAGATCCTCCGGAGGCTTCGCGGGGCTCAAGAAGTCCGGCTTTCTGCTGAGCTCACTTCGGCTTAAACGCGGCCGCGGGGGTCTTCCCCCAGAGAGGGCTCTCTGTGGGTCTCCGAGGTTGACGTTTCTGAGATGGCACAAAGGCGCTGCCCCGGAGCCGGAGGAGCAAAGGGAGCCGCAGCCGAGAAGCCATGGAGCCGGTTTTTTGGGGGGACCTCAGCCCTCAGCTTTCTGAGAAATCGGAGGAGGCCCTGCCCTCCGAGCCTGAAAGACGCCGCTTCGAGGCCTCTCTAAGCATCTTCCTCTCTTCTGCTCTCCGTGCTCTCCGTGCTCGGGTTTTAGCACCGATGGCCCAGGTCGTGATATCCAGGACCGGCGAAGATCGCTTGGGCCTGCGCTTGCGACCGTCGCTGGCCCAGAGCTCGTTGCTCTGGCCATGGCTGGGCCGCGACAGCTTCCGAACCTGGTCTGCTCGGTTTGGAGTTTGGGGGCGTTCAGGGGTCTTCAGGGGCGTTTAGGGCTCAATGCGCGTTGAGCCTTTAGGGACCTTGAGGGTCTTTAGAGTTTGGGGTTGGGCTACAGCAGACCTACAGCCTCTGAACCCCTTCTCTCCCCAACCTCAGTGAGACAGAGTGCGTCGAGGTGCACGCGCGATCCCACGCGCACCGTGGTGTCGGAGGCCGGCCACAGATATACCCCCGGAGCAAGACAGAACGGAAAACCACTGTATCCAAAAAAGTTGATGAATTTACATGGAAGGTTCATGGCAGCAACCAAAAAATTAAGTAAGAGTGCATTTGAGTCAAGTAGACGCTAGTCAAGAAAGTAGTAGCAAAACTACAGATTGCGTTTTCGCTCATTTTTGGGTGCCCAGCATGGATTTGCTTGATGCTTGGCCTGCATGCTGGGAAGTTGCGGCTAAACTGAGACTTCTTGCGCTGGGCAACTGCACTCCGAAAACCCTGCAATGCCTGTGTACTTACGGGTCTTCCAACTCGTGCTGGCGGCGAACAGTGCTGCTAAAGAGCTGTGCCAGGTGGTGCCGGACAGCTTGGTTGACAGGCACAACAAGGCAGGACGGACCAGGACCGAGCTGCACAAGTGTGTTCGCTTTGTCGCTGGAGGCAATGCCGGAGAACCGGATCTTGCGGGGCGACGAGGTCCGACTCGGTCCGACGGGTTGCAGCACTTGGCGAGGAGTGCGCGAGCTGACAGGTCGACTCCGTCAACGGAGAAGGTGATCCGGCTCGCTTTCCCGACTGCTGCTCACAGCCCCGAGCTCAATCGCGTCCTGAAGCCGCGACTCTGCAGAGTGCGACGGTTGAAGCCCCGAAGCGCGCGCGGACCGAGGTCGAGGATCGTTTTCAGGCTGACGCGCCGCTCCCGGCAGAACGCAGGCTGTTACCGAATCGTTCTCGCGGCGTCGCTCTTGCGGTTCCGTGTCGCTGCTGGGACCTCTCTGTGCAGGTGCCGAGGAAGAAGCCGAGCCTGCGGAGCCTGCGGAGCCTGTGGAGCCTGCGGAGCCCGCAGAGGAGCGGACGGAGGCGAGCCAGAGGCTTCCTGAATCCCTGGGCTCGTTCCCGCCCTCAGAGCACTCAGAGGGCCAGGGCCAGGGCCAGGGCCAGGACCGCGAGGACCGCGAAGGCGAAGGCGGCGAAGGCGAGGACCCAGGAGCCGAAGCTGAGATGCCCGACAAGCCCGAAGAGTTCGCGGAGGCTCCGACAAGCCAAAGCAGAGGTTCTGAGGTTCTGAGCTGAGGGTCCTGGACAGGTCTCCCAACCGACGGATTCGGCTTGGTGCGCAGAGCCAGGCAGTGGCAGAGGTCCACGCGCAAGCAGGCGCCTTTGCTTCTTGCTCCAGGATCAGTTGCATCGGCCCAAAAGCCACCACCAGAAGCAGACAGCAGGCGGGGGGCGGAGCTTTGCGGAACTCCGGCAACACAAATGAACACATACACACACGCACACACACACACACTCCCTCACTCAAGGCTGGAGACTTCCGCAGACCTCACCGGTGAGCAACCTCCACCACCCAGAGAGGCCTTTCCTGGCAGATTCAGAAGAAGCATCATGAGATCAACAATCCAAGGCAATTAGTTGGAATCCTGTGGCAGGCAACGCGCACGCCATGCAGAGAAGTGGCAACGAAGGCCACGGCAAGAGGGCTTGACTCTACTCGCAGCTGTCCTTCTGAGTCTAAGGAGCAGCCAGAGCTCCCCCACCCGCCAAAACCCTAACCCTAAACTCCTAAATCCTGGGCCATAATAAACCCTAAACTCCGAAATCCAAAAGGAGCTTTCTTCTTTGCTGCTGATGCCCGCGAAAGCGGCGGTCCTGGCGTCCCTGGCCAGCGGCCTCGACGCGGCCTCGCGCCGGCACCTCGAGGCTTCCCTGGACCGCTTGCAGGAGCGCCGAGTCGTCTCAAAATGTAGGATGCAATAGAGTGTATGATATGATATTATGATCCGATATGATGATAGAATCTAGCCTATATATATATATATGTGTGTGTGTGTGTGTGTGTAAATCGGAGATGCTCTCTGCTGCGCTCCGGGGGCCAGGAACTCTCGATCTCCATGGGAGGACTGGCTGACGGCGAGAGCTCAAAACGGTCCAGTGTGCTTAGCCCGCCCTCGAAATCCCGTCAGCCACCGGGTAATTAGTCAGCTCTGCTCTAAAGGGCATCGCTCCAGCTGTGGCTCGAACACGCTCTGGGGAAGGGGGCGAGGGCATCTTTGGTTTAGGTCAGTTGTGCCGGCAAGCTATCTGCCGTTGCAAAGCCGCTGGGCACTGTTGGCCTGTTTTGACACAAGCAACTCCGCCCCTCGAGCTCTGTGCAAAGGCTGGTCGACATGTACTACGACTTCGATTGGAAAGATGCACCGCTGTCCTCCCATAGCACTCCAGTCATCGCCGGCCGCCGGCTTAGTCTGCTGCAGGTCTTCAGTACTGTCTTGTTGTAGGCCGATCTTCAGGAACCGCGGCCATGAAAAGATTATCACCTGGCGCATCACACGCCTTATCTTTGGGCCTGCATAAAGAGCCCAGTGAGGTTGCCTCTATTTGCTGATGGTCCTACTGTTGCCTCGATGCGTCGGAGACTCGGATGCTTCGGAGGTTCTTCGGCGCAGAGCCCCTTCCTTTTTGTGGAGGTGCCGGAAGGCGGCTTCAAGCTGGACAAGACGCTGGTGGTGCACAACTTCATCCTCAGCCGAGACCCCAGAGCTAAGCGTTCCTTTTCAGCCTTCTTCTTTCTTCGACTCTGAGGCTTCATGTCCTTGGTCCTCTGCCTTGGATGTGCTTTTGAGATGGTGCAGAGGGTGAGGAGCGAGAGCAGCGTGGAATGGATGCCTCGTCCTCATGCAAACGACGTTAAATCGAGCTTCGACCCGAGACGCCGGGCATGACTTCGGAGGTTCTGTGAAAATAGATCGATGTCCGCGCGAGGCCAGGCCTCTGCTACACCTAAGAGAGACGGCGTGTGCTTGGGGCTGTGAGAGGCCCGCTTTATTTCTGGTCCTGGGCCTTTTATGCCATGCACTCGGGCCTCGGGTCCTGACTTAGGGTGGCTAAAGTTGGGTTATGGTTATGGTCCTTGGCTTCGTCGTGCTTGGCTTGCTCCCATGTCTTAGACCTTGATTGGTTCAAAAGTATCTAGTGCAGATGGAACGATGGTTCAATAAGGCCAGCAAGTACTATGAGCTTGTGGATACTCTGCTGGCCTTGCTGCGGGCCTCCAGGTGAAGCTTGGTTAGACATAGATCCGAGTCAGAGTTCTCGCGCTCTCCCACAGGCCGCCGCACTTTGGCTTGCACGTGTACCACCATGCCCTCGTTCCGGCAGGGCCTCGAGTCTTCTGCAGCTGTTTGAGCCAACTTTTCGTTCCCGATTGTGGTACTGTAGAGGTCATGGTCTGGCACTGGCTCGAGTACTGCACTACTCTCCAGCACATAGGCACGAGCTTTGTACATAGGTTGACATTCAGTGCACGCAACACACAGCGTGGCAAGGACTGCTCTGGAACACCTTCGTGCATGTAGTTATGTATGCCTACTACGCTCTGAAGGCGCGGAGTGCTAGAGCGGGGGAGAAGTGAGGCAAATGGCAGAGGCTTGAAGTATATAAGCATCGATGTTATCAATATTCCCACGACGAGGCGTGTAGAGCCCCTGCGTTTCCTAGTTTGCCGCCGCATTGAGTGGCATTGCCCATATTCAGGTTCTGAAGGTGCCGACGTCAGATACTGAGACTCCATGATCGCATGGTTTTTCGGCATGGACCGCTCACTCAGAATGCAGTGATGAGGCCCTGGAAGAGTTGGGTAACACGCTTGCAGATCATTCAGTTCGTGACCAGCATGGCTGCCTTCGCGCCGGCCATGTACTACATGTGGGAGCGCAGCGTCTGCTTGCGGACGCGGTCGGCTTGAGATCAAAAAGCATCTTGCAGGAGTCGCCACTCGGAGATGCCTGTGCTGGGCAGAGATCATTTCTGGCCGCAGCCGCAGAGTTTTGGAGCGGTCTCAAGGGAGCCAGAACCGGCTGCAGGTGAACCTGGCTTTCAACCTCACGCTGCTGTGGCAGTTTGTTGGAGTGCTTTATACCCCTGCCGGGAGCCAAAGTTTCGCAAGTCGCTTGCATCGCGCAGAAAGCCTTGGGCCCAGGCAGCTGGAGCAAAAAAGAGGGGCCACAAGAAGGAATGATAACTTTGATCTTCCATCCTTTTCCAGTGACCCTGAAGGCCACACCCTAAAGGCTGTCAAGCTGCGTGGATGCCTAAAGAGGCTCCAGTTGGCCAAGCCTTATAGTGGTCCCCTGCCAATGCTGCCGTAACCGGTTTGCTGGCGCAGCTGGCGCCAGCGTCTTCAGCCTGGTAGTCGTGTCACCCTGCCACCGTGCAACTAGACCGCAGACCGCTTCGGGAGATCCCAAACGCGCTACCTGCCTGAACTGCGGCACCGCAGGTCCCATGTATTCTCCCTTGTACTGCTTCGCAACGTCGGGCGCATGCATCAATACTGGCCAGCAGAGATGGTTCAAATCCTGGGTCTTATGAAGTGACTATCAGCTATCAGGGCGATCTGGACCGTCTGTAACGTGTCTTCTAGAAGGCGTCAACACTGCATGTTACTTGCGCTCGGGATGGTTTCCACCTCTCCCAGCAAGTGTTGCAAAAAAGGGGGTTTAAATTGCGTAGACTCATGGCTTCGCGGCTTGCGGCCTGTGCTGGGCCCTCGGATGCCCGACTCGAACTCCAGAGAGCAGAGTTCCTCCTTGCCTCAAAGCTGGGGGCTCTTTTGAAGGTAAGGCCGAGGCCCAGGCCAGCGAGCCGGCTTCTGTTGCTTCCTTAGAGCTGCCAGGAGGTTTTAGGGGTTTTAGGGGATGCTTAGGGATGTTTGGAGGGGGGTCTCCAGGGTTCGAGACTGAAGCCTAAAGCGACATACACCGAGGACCCGAGTCAGCCATGGGCAGTTTCAAGGCGCCCCTCTCTGTGCTGATGCTAGGGGGGTAGCTGGGAATGGGTGCCCTGCCCTGCGAGTTGCTTGGCCCTACATGGTGGGTCACCCAGTAACCTAGAGAAGGGCATCAAAGCCTGGGGGGCCAGCGATGACGCCTCGTCCGGTCCGACATGAGGTCCAGATGCGCGGCGCTCTGAGCAGTTCTGCAGACAGCGAGGTGACAACAGATGCAACCTTCAGGCCTCGGGTTCCGCTTGCAGCGCCATAAAGGAAGAGCTCTTCTAGCTCTCCTCCGCTAATGAAAAGGCGCTGGCCGATGGGTCAGGTACAGCAGCTTTAGCTGGCGAACTTCTGCCGGCGAAAGGCTGACATGCGCGTCCGTGCATGAGAGTTTCCCGTGAACTTCGTTGATCTTCGTTGTGTTGCAGGTATCCGTACGAATACATTGTTGCACAGCAGCCTGCCGGGTGCCGAATCTGGAAAAGCACGGCCTCAGCAGTTCAAAAGATAAGCTCAGGCTGGCGGCGGGACTGCCCGCAATGCTCTTGTCGCTTTGGAAGAGAGCTTGCGCGAGACCTGGTTCGATACGGGGGGCCACGTCTGCGGAGTGAGTCTGCGCGACTTCGGAAGCCCTAAAGGAACCCCTCAAAAACGCTGAAACTCAGAGCGCACAGCTGATGAGGCCGGGGCCTGCCAGCGGCTGGACGGTGGTTCTCATGCCCTCGGCTGCCGGCTCAGAGGCGAAATCGCTTTCGCTTTTGCTCGGATCGTCTCATCCCCCAGGTTTCGCTGGTTTGTAGCGGCAAAGAGGAGATGAGACCCCTGGCCACGCTGCTCTCGCAACGCGGGCCGGGACCTGGCTGCGAGTCCTTCCGGAAGTGCCGCGACTGTCGGAGCTCTGAGGCATCGCTGCTACATCCTGGAGTGGTCTCGACCTTGCTGGAGAGTGGGTGAAGCGCATGGAGCTGTGTATGAGGCCTGGATGGACGCAGCACGTGCAGACCAACTGGGCGCACCAGTCCCAGCGTCATTGCATGCTGTGCCGCTGCGCCCCGCTGCGCCTCTTGCAGCTTCGCCCCAGTGCGCGATCTGCAGGCTGGAGCGATGCAAGACGGAGCACCTTGCTGAGGAATACCAGGAGAGAATGGGCGATTGTCAGTCTCATGTGTCCATGTGTCCATCCGGCTTTCCAGGACTTCTGGTGTCAGGCCTTGGAACACGTCGCTCAGCGAGAGCTTGCTGAAGCCCATGGCCATGCGGACGAAGTGCAAGCCGAAGCGAAAGCTCGTAAGTTGGAGCCTCGGCCTCTCGGTTGCATTTCTCCGTGCGTAGCTGCTTCCGCTGCCAAGGCTTTGCATCGTTGCAGCTGGGAGCGCTTCGGTCTATGCGCTTCGGGCTGTGAAGGAACGCTCCCCGGCTCCCACCCCGGCTCCCCTTTCCCAAAGATGCGCCTGGACACGACTCGGCCAGGCGCTACAGGACTGGCTCCCGGAGGAGAAGTCCCAGGCCCAACTTTGTGGCCTCGGGCCTTTGGCGCACCTTAGTTGGGATTATGGAGGCGCCGGAGCTACGGTACGACTCCTTGGTGATGCTCGCTCCAAGCTTGGCGCTCAGTCGCCTGGCACCGCTGTCTTCTCGCGACTCCCTTAGCTCTCTTTCAGACTTCGGCGCGAGCGCGGCACGTAGGAGCAAGCGAGCTTGTTTTTGCGGGAGTCGCAAGTCTAAGGCTGGAGGGCAGAGCGGCGGCAAGGCTTTCTTTCCCGGCTGCCGCCGGATCGTGCCGCCTACTGGATGGGCGCCCCGGCCTTGGCCCATTGGCTTTTAGCATGAAGCGAAGAAATGGACTGCTACTCTAATTCCTTGCTTTGGCAGCCTGAGGCTCGAAGTGTTAGACTCCTAGGAAGGGGCCCGAAGCCATGGCCAGAGTGAATGAGGGGAAGCGGTAGCATGGCGAGCAGTGGCTTGGCAAGGGCTCAGACATGCTTGGGTCACACGTGACCAGACAGCTTAATCGGCTTTTTCTCTGTCGCGTTGGTACTTGCCCCTGTTGCAAGGCCAGGCGCCACAAATACCGCGAGTGCCCACCCACCTTGCTTATGGCGGCGAAGCTGCATCAAGGAATCTTGACTGCAAGTTCCTTCTTCCAGAAGTCCCGCCCTAGCTGTCTGTGCCCATCTTGTAATAGTCTCCCGAGCTGAGGACGTCTCCGAACAGCGAGGTGGAGAAGCTGAAACCTGAGATCCACGAACTGCTGGGTCTGCTGCGCAAGGCTCTCCACTTGGTGTGTGAAGAGCTGCGGCGGACGCACAAGTGCAACAAGCATCTGGAAGAGCGCCAAAGTGACCTGGCCGCGGAACTGGACGAACTGAAGCCCAAGTCAGTGCAGCTGACACGCTTGGGGGGGGCCGTGAAAGTGAATAATCGTCCGGAGCGCATCGAGCTCACGAACCACCCCGCCCAGCCTTTGCAAACCTCGCACATGGGAGCCGTCATCCCAGCCCGTCACTTTGCAGCGCCGGCTGCACCAGCCGCAGCCGTGGCACCGGCGGCTTCCTCAGCCCGATCGTCTGTGGCACCTTCCACTTCGGCTCCCGATGGCTCCCAGGTGCGTCAGTCAGACGAAAGCAAACAGAAGAACAGGGCATCCAGTGATCGGAGCTCGATGGCAAGCAGCAGACGCGTGACGCTGAAGCTGTCCAGAAGTATCCTGAAGAAGCTTTCGGCCAATGCAGGGCACTCACAGAAAGAGGAGCAGGGCAGCGACAGTGGTTCCGAAATCTTCGAGGCCAACAATCCAGAAGAAGTCCAGGAGATGCAGAGGATTCTCGAGCAACTTAGCTGGAAGTACGAATACATGCCGGAAGGGGGGAACGAAGTGGGTCAAGAAGACGGTGCTGATCTCAAGCCTGCTCGCGAAGAGGACTGCGCGTCGACTGCATGTCGCCGCAGTGCAAGCCATTAGACTTTGTGCCTCTATGTGAGTGTGCGTTGGGGTGATCTGGTGAACTGTAGTCTAGAGTCTGTCCATCGCGATGCCAGCCACATGATGAGGAGCCTGAAACATCTCCGTCCGTACGCGCCTCGCTCTCCCGGCGACTGACGCCAGGGATGTTGGAAGATGAAACCGGCTCCCTCCCACCTCGTCGCTTGACTTTGTTCCAGGCCAAGTGATCTGTGTCAAAAGCCAGCAGATGTCACATGTAGCCGGGAGCACAAGAGTTCTCGCGAACGATCGTTAATGCCTTCGCAGAGCCACCGTGGCTCTGAGCATCGAGAAGAAAAAGGAGCCTGAATGCAGGCTGAAGCTCATTGCCTCATTGCTGTGCTGGCTGAGCAGCATGTTGATTCGTGTCCCGTGCCTAGGGCCTAGAGTCGCACTTGAAAGTTGCTTGTGCCACAAAGGCTCTGCTTCACACCGACTCCCGGGTGGGCCGCATCTTTCGACGGTCGTACTTTGGGTGGGAGTCTTACTTAGAGGATCATGGGACTTAGTAAGTAAGGTTATAAGTACCCTAATTGGGGTTATAATTATAGTTACCCTATTTATAACCCTAGTTACTAAGTCCCATGATCCTCTAAATTTGGCTCCAGGGAGCCGACTCCAGGGAGCCGAGTGGAGAGAAGTGAGACGACGCTCCGGGGGCATTTTCGGGCCCCCCCTTTTGCCAAGGAAGAAGAATCTTCAGCGCCATTTCCTCCATGCGGGCGCACCGGATGGAAACGAGGCTCAACCCTCTGAATGGGGCCTTCTGGAAGGATCTTGTCTCTGAGTCGGAGGAACGGCTGTTGCAGCTGGCCTCCTGGTTCTTTCAGAGGCATGTGGGAAGCTTGGAGTTTCCCCTGAGCTGGATGTATTTTCTGCCCAGGCCGCGACCCTATGCGCAAACTGATGCGGCCATGGCATATGGATTCTTGGACCCTCCTGGCATCGAGTCCGTCTGCCACCAAGCCTGAACGGGAACATCTGGTAGCTGCAGCTCTAGCAGTGGTGTCTGCGCAGGTCGATGGTCTCGCCACCGAGATCATCACGCAGCCTTTCAGGTCCGAATTAGCCTTAACAACACATGGGGCGGACCTTTCGTGCACAACCAGCAGGGAGGAGTCAGTAAATACTCCGAGCTTCATCGTGCGATCCACCTGCACTTTCCAGAACCATGCATCGTGCTTTCAGCCGCATGCACTCGCACTCGTTTTTGCTCGCGTCGGGCAGCGCGTGGCTTCATCCTTTTTTCGCCTTGAAGATGTGCAGTCAAAATCAAAACAGCAAAATCTCGCTGGAGCCAGGAGTCGTGTTCTGCTCCTCAGCCCAGAGTCCCAAAGTGGAGCTCAGTCGCTGTGGTCAGCAGTGGAGGCTCGCGGCTGGTAGTGAGATTCGGACATGTCAAAAACGAGCAGATCCAGGCCCGGGCCGGGGGCACTCCGTCCTCTGTGGAGCGTCGCCGACTCCTCGGTGAAGCGGAAGCGAACAGCAGGCGCTGCCGCTGGGAGTGGCTGATTGTGTCGAGGTTTCATTCCCTCCAAGTCGCCGCTGCCGCATGAAGTGGCCACTTCCGCAGTGCAATTCGTGATGGCACTCAGCCAAAGACTCTCGTCCAGTCGCGGCTGTAGGAGTGTTCGGGGAGCACGGGCGCACTTGCGACCTAGGCTGTGGACCAGTGGCTGCAGGAAAACGCCGATGCAGACACTGCGACCCCGTCGCCATGAAACAGTCGCAAAAAAGCGAATGCGGCCGATGGAATGTATGTGTGTACGTTCACGATCATCATGATCATCACCAGGGTGCATGTTCCTTCGCCAGCCCTTCGCCTGCCAGAAGTGCCAAGTCGGATCAAGGCTTTTGCAGAGTCTCTCAGAGTTTTGAGAGCCAAGCCATGGCTGCGCTTGGAGAGGCGATGCTTTTTTTGTTTTAAAATGTCGGTCCCCGTCTTTTTTGCCTTTGGCGCCGACCGGTGTAACTTAGGTGCTGCCAGGCACCGTGACAAGGACGGCCGGAGTTTTTTGAGTCTCGACTTTCGCTCTGTGGACATTTGCTTGGGTGTGCGGAGGCCTGAGATCTCCAAGTGGACCATTCATCCAGCCGCAGTAGCACTGGCGCCGGGGGATGATGCAGTGAGGCTGCTGCTCGCAGCCCGCAGGCTCTTGACAGGGTGAAACAGCGATGACGGCAGGCGGCCAGTCGGCGCTTCCAGTTTTACAAACCTGAAAACTGGCTGTCTTTGCCTCAGCACGTTTCATTAATCTGCTGTGTAGAGTCCCGAGTAGGGAGATGTCACCCTGCCTGGAAACCTAGTGGCAATTGCGGTGCCGCTGGCCGCAGCTGCTGTGCGGAAAAGGCCTTCAAACGGAGAGAACATCTGCGGTCCACGTGATTGAGCATGTCAATGTGGAGGCCCCAAGGACGCAAAGCGCGACCCATGCTGGCCATGACCAAGACCTCGGTAAGCAACGACACTGTCAAAGGTGCAGCGAAAGCAGCAGCCTCGGAGTGTTGAAGCATGTTGAAGCATGTTGAAGCTGTGGAGCATGAGGAGCTGATGCCCTTTGTCAGGTCTGCTCCGAATGTGGCTACGTTTTCGTGGAGGATGATGCGTTGTTCTGCCGCTCTTCGAGACTTATCTCAGTCAGAGTCGGCAGACGTAAAATTAATGCCAAGGCCCAAAGTGTGGGACACCTCGAACCGGAACTCTGGGGGTGGGATCCAAGAAGGCCTGTGCTGTGAGCTGCCCAGCGGCACCTGCTAGCTTTCCTCGACGAGGCCGCACCCAAGGCCGAGGAGCCCAAGAAAGGCTATTTCCCACCGCAGCCCACACCACTGCAGCTTGCCTTTCCTTGCCTGTCTTGCTCTCAGTTTCTCTGGGATCTTCTCGAGTTCTGAGGCTGGACTCTCTTGGAGACGAGGGCACCCAGCGGCCAGCCTCCCAGCTCCAGCCCGTGCAGCCCAAGAAGACATTCCTGCGGAAGTGGAGGATCCGGAGCATGAGCGTTCCGGAGCTCAAGCAGCTTGCCGACGAAGTTCGGTGGCAGGCTCGGGCCGTCTCACGCCACCCCTTCCGGCTTCCGTGTGCTCCAATGTGCTTTGGAGCCCAAAGCGGCGAGTGACAGGTGCTGGATGCCGTCTCGGTCACAGGAGGACATCTCGGCAGCTGGCCTCAGTTGCAGTTCGGACACGTTCGGACGGGGTCCTTTCCGGAGGGTGGAGGACTAAGTCCCTGAGGTGCCGGCCTGGGCGTGGTTGAGCTGACGGTAGCACTTCACCACGTTTTTGACACGCCCCGCGACGAAATCTGCCAGTTGCCCAGGAAATGGAACAGTTCGTACCGCGTAGCAAGGGTAATTAGCGCTGTCATCGCCCAGGCTGGGACGTCGCACACCAATGCCAACCTCACAAAGCGCCTCTCCCGGACCTTTGGCTTGGCAACACTCGGTCCAGGCATGTCTGGCTTAGTCCCCCAGAACTCTGATGAAGTCTCACGGTCGCTGGCTTCAGTTCCGAGCTGCAAGCGTGGTAGCGAGTCGCAGCTTTGCTGCAGGGCTGTCTGAGATGATGGAGGGGTCCGGACCGGTCCATGCATGCATCCATGCCTTCATGATATTAGTGATCAATCCGCAGTCCATCAGACGACCCTGTTGCAAGATAAAGGAGCAGGAAGTTATGCTTATGAAGAAAAGTACTAGCAGTCGAGGACTGACAACAAGGGCGGGAATTGCGAAATCAAGTTGTTTTCAACTGCTACACTCTGTTGGAGCATGCATGCCAACCTGTCACGCGAAAGCAGCTGACTAAGGTGTTGACAGGGCGGCGATCGCGCATCTACACACTGCGTCAAAAGCTCACCGTAGCTTTGAAGTACTCGGGCTTTTTTAGAGAAGATGGCCGTCAAAGATTCCTGCCATGAGGCCAGGGGGGTGGCCTGTCGGGCTTCGCAAAGAGGAAAGAGTCTGGAGCCCGGCTTCGTCGGCACAGCCGGCAAGCGCGGGCTGACCTCACTGGCCCGGCCAGGTCCATCTACGATGCTTTTGGTGCAGGGCATTCTTCCACATCCATCAGCATGGGGCTGAACGGATTCTCGTCCGTAGTGCAGGGAGTGGACATGAGTGGACTGCGTTCTGCTGCTTCCCTCAGGTGCCGCGGTCGGCTTTCAAACTGCTAAAGATCGGCTGGGTAGGCGGGTCCGAGCTGCGAGCCTGCACGAGCGCTGGAAACTCCCCTGTCAAGGTCTGGCCACAGCATTGCTGTAATCGGAGATGGAGCCATCACCGGTGGCATGGCTTGGGAGGCCATGAACCATGCCAGAGCCTCGTTGGACACAACTGTAGCCGCCCGTGGCAGAGCGAAAGAGGTGGCAACATGACAAAGCTTCAGCCGACTTAGATAGAGTCCGCAGCGACAGCAAGTCAGATCGTGTGATCAGGCAGGTGGCATGGGCTCCAAGATGGCAGTTGGCTCAGACGTGATGAGGTGAAGTAAATTCAGGTCTGGAGCCTCGTTTAGGTTGTGATCTTGAACGACAATGGACAGGTGTCTCTGCCGGAGCCCTGGCTCACTTCTTTTGGGCCTCAGCAACGTAAGCCGCTTCTCAGCACTTTGCAGGCCGACGTTCTACAACAAGGCCTCCGAGCTCCCTTCGGCCATGGTGATTTCGTGTTGTTGCTTTGAGCAGAGCTGCAGGTCAAGCAGCCTGTGGGGGCGCTCTCCGAAACCTTGGCCGGCACGCAAGGCCTGGCAACAAAAAAGGGGAAAAGGCTCTAAACCCTAAACCCTAAACCCTAAACCCTAAACCCTAAGGTTGAAGAGAGGGACGCACCAGAACTCTGGGATCCCAGAGCTTCATCACATCGTCGTTTCCGCGCGGAGGCCTCTCCATCCAGGGCGACATCGCGAAGTTCGAGACCTCCTCGGCTTTCCAGAACGCGAGACAGCCCCTGCCTCGGAGTAGCGGCAACATGTGGGAGGTTCCGAAAATTAGGGTACCTTGTT